TTTTTTTTTTTCCTTTCGTCTTACTACTTTTCTCATTTGTTGAATCTGTCAAATATTATCAGTCAATTTCTCTCAGGTCCTTGGTGCCAATGCTAATTGCTATGTGGACGTTGGGTCTGAGCTACCTTTAAAAACATAACCGTCGTTATTTACTCCAAGGTGACAGCAACATTGGGAGAACCCTGTGTCATCTTCACAACCTGCAATCATGTTCATCCTTAAACTGTGTCATGAAAGGTAGCTCAGCCAATCAGAGCACTTAGGGAATGCAAATTTCAGCACAACCCCCAGAATTTAATTCAGTTCTGTGCATCCAGCTTCAAGAGGGAAACTATTAGCATGGAACATACCAGACAACCACCAGGGTAGTGAGGACATTTAAAGCCTTTTAAGTATAACAAGTAGAAAAATATAAAAAACCGTTTTAAAAAGAGGTATGTTTCCTCATACCTTTGTGACTTGGCATATGCTGTTCCTCCTGGAATAGCTCTGATGTCACTGCCTCATGAAGCCCCTCCTCGTCCTGCCCCCAGCTCCAGCCTGCATTAAGTTCCTCTTCTCTGCTCCCAAGAGAATAGACCCTCCATGAGGCCAGCAGCCCTATCTGCTTGGGTTCCTGTTGTAACCACAGCACTTGGCACACTTCCTGGGGCAGAGTAGCTTCTCGGTAAATATTTGTTGAGTGGGTAATGTATCCCATGACAGCCTGCACATATCTGTTATAGCAACTACTCGTCACTGTTGGTTTTTTAGTTCTCTATCTTTCTTCATTTGATTGTGACTTTTCTGTCTGCAGAGCCTGTATTTTTATGTTGGTTTTTTAAATACTTAGTTCCAGTAAGTATTTTGTATTGAGGCTGGGTGTTCAAGAAGCATGGGATCAAATGAGTAAATGACTGACTGTGCAAACAGATGTAGACAGTAGATGACTCCAGGGACGATAGGGTAGCTGCCCTTAAGCTGTGCCAGGGCTGTCATGTGGATGAGGGATGATTCCTAAGGGCAAGTTTTCAGGGAGGCAAATTTGGCTCCAGGCAAGGCAGGGTGATTGCAGGGGCCAGCAGTGGAGTGGCCTGGCCCCGGAAGGAGGGAGTTTCCCGTTGCTGGAGGAAGACTGGACAGCAGCTTCAGAGCTGCTCACCTGGGATGTTGTAGACAGTGTTTCTGTCTCTGGTCAGTGTTGGACCAGGTTGTGCATGGGGCGCCTTGGAACTGGAGACGCTCTCTTTCCTTGACGCAGGTTGCAGGGCGTCTCCACGTGGAAGTGATGCGCGTGACAGGAGCTGTTCCGGAGCGCGTGGTGGAGGATGAGTCCTCGGAGAACTCCAGTGAAAGTGGGAGCCTTGACGTCGTAGACGGCAGCGGGGAAGTCATTCACCGGGTCAAAAAAATGACGTGCCGGGTGAGAGCACGGCAATGGGGAGGCTCACATAAATGACCTTTTTCAATACAGTGGGGGACTGTCCTTTTCCGGGAGAATAGAGCGCTTTCTGATGGCAGTTGCGTAAAATTTCGAAGCGTATACGTGTTTTTTATTTGGCACGTGAGAAGTATGTGTTGCTTGGTTAGTTAAAGGGGATTGTATGTTGCTTAGTTGAAGTCCCTGAGTGGTATAAATGGTTGACATGCCCGGCTGCTAACTGAGAAGTTGGTGGTTCGAGTCCACTCGGAGATACCTTGAAAGAAAGGCTTAATGATCTACTTCCAGAAAATCAGTCATTGAAAACCCTGTGGAGCACAGTTCTACTCTGACACATGCGGGGTTGCCATGAGTTGGAATCAGCCGCAACTGGTTTTATGTTGCTTGGTTAATTATGTTCTTTTTAAAAAAGTTTACATCTATATCAGAAGTTCAGCATTAAGAAAATTCTAGGGGAATGTGTGCATTTGTTTTCATGCTTATATACTGTAGTTACAGCAGTGTGCTACAGACTTAATTGCAGACAGAACCCTTAGTGAAATGGTGCCAGGTATTCCAGATGTCCGATGGATGACTTAACTTGTTCCATCACTTACTCTGAAATTTGAGTTAGTCAAAATAGGAAGAAAAATGTTTAATTTTTTTTTTTTTTTTTTTTTAATGGGAGTCACATTTGCATTTTTCGCTCTTCAGGTGAAAATTAAAGAGGCATCCGGACTGCCCTTGAGCCTCTCGAATTTTGTCTTCTGTCAATACACATTCTGGGACCAGTGTGAGTCTGTGGTGGCTGCGCCCGTGGTGGACCCAGAAGTGCCGTCTCCCCAGTCCAAGGATGCCCAGTACACAGTGACTTTCTCTCACTGTAAGGTACAGATGACGTTGCACAGCCAGCTATGTGGCGGCATCTGGGTTAGGTGCAGCTCAAAGATCTATTTGTAACTTAAAATTTTTCCCTAAGGATTTTTTTAAATTGATATATATATATGCATTTTTTTAACCTCAAAATATATTTCCATTCCGTAAGTACAAGATATACTTACAAATTCAAATAATTTGGAAGTATTTAAAATAAAATCTGGAAAAAACCTCTACCCAGAATCTTATTTCCCACAAGTGTGACCGCCAAGGGCAGTTTGCTACATATTTTAAGAAACTAAATTAAAGTTTTAGTAAACTATTAAACTTATTAAATTATGCTCTACGGCTTTCACAGGTATATTGTAAACATTTGTGCACACACGTAAATGGGCATAGATGTGTATTTACGGCCACGTGTGCGTAACGTCTTAAACATGTTTTACGACAATGGCATCACGTTATACATTCTGTAGATTTGCATCCTATTATGTTAATATACGTAGACATTGTAGCATGTAAGTTGATATAGATGCTTCTCTCTCTCTTTTTTGTGAGGGGAGGGGAATGCAGCATAACATTCTGGTATACCCTATGAATTTTACAAGCATTTATAAAATGAGAAAAGTGAATTTTTGGTGAATGTTGGATGAGTCTACTTTGAAAGGTCACTTGACTTCCCTTGCTTTCATGCAGGGCTGCCAACAAGTCATTTCTGAAGGACAGGTCCAGTCCACGCCCTAGTTTTGTCTTTTCTTGGAAAGCCCTGAATAGATACTCAAGACCCAAATCATGTCCGTTCTTTCTGTTCTCCACTTAGAAAACAGATCCACCTCATCACCCATACAATTTCACTTATATAAAGATGATAGGCCTTTTTCTTGCAGCAGATCAATCAATAGCCCACAATTCTTTGTCTCTGTTTACAAAGTCTGTTTCTCAATATCTTTATTGATCATTTTTAGTGTTCTCTGAATACTCTTTTATATATTCCCCGTCTTTCTTTGGAATCCTCAAAGCTGCTTATTTGGAAGGTGAAATCTAACTTTTAAATACATCCTAGTAAGCCACTGTTTTTGTAAAAACTAGTCCCAAAGCCACTGGATTCACTGTGTGACCTTGAGAAGCTACACATACTCACCAGATCTCTCTTTTCTTCTTCTCTGAAATATGTCCATCGTACTAGTTGATTATTAGATTTCCTGTTCGTCTAGTATTCTGGCTCTGTCTCCAAATGAAATAAGTAAAAAGAGAGAGTGTGTATGTAAGGTTAAATCAGTATAGCCCAGCTGTTCCCAGAAATTAGAATTACAGACAAGTCTTCACCTGAGATTCCATAGAGGCCAATGGAAGAAAAATTGGTTTGATTCCTTGCCCACTGCGTTTTTCTGGGTGATTTGCCTTCTACTTCTTCAGTATTCATTTCCTCATAGTTATCTGTTTGCATTTTAGGATGAGGAATTGGGGTGGGAGAGTTCAAGGCACCGAAATATAAAGATAATTGTTTAGAATTTGACTCTGTTATAGTTGCCTAAATCCTAGGAAGAAACAATCAAAAGTTCCTGCCTTGATGTTCCGAATGAACCTATCCCAGCTGGAAGTCAGAGTGGCATTGTGGAACTAAAAAGAATAAGGAGTAAGGGAACATGGATCTGACTCATTTCTGTAACTAACAAGCAGTATGGCTTTGGACCAGTTGCTTTTTTCACTTCCCTCATTTATAAAAGAATGAGGTTTAATTAAATTGTCTCATAATTTCTCTTCCACATTTAATATTCTGTGGTTCCTTGTGGTTTTCTATAAAACTTAAGAGATGGTTATGGTTGGGTCAGGTTAATATACTCCAAACTGAATCTATGTACAGTTGAAAGATACAAAGGAAATCTCACGGGCTCCTCGGTGCATAACTCTTCTTGCTGTTTCCTTCCTCCCCTTCTCCCAGGACTATGTAGTGAACGTCACCGAAGAATTCCTGGAGTTCATTTCAGATGGCGCATTGGCGATTGAAGTGTGGGGCCACCGGTGTGCTGGCAATGGTAGCTCCATCTGGGAAGTCAATTCCCTTCATGCTAAGACAAGGACACTGCATGACAGGTGTGTACTTGGCTGTGAGCTTCAGACACAGGGTCAGCACTAGCGCTTGGACAGTGGATAAGAATACAGGCTCTGTACTCTGGGCTGCTGCTGTTATTTAGAGCAAGTTACTTAACCTCCCGGAGCCTGTTTCCTCCTTTACAAAGCAAGGATGATAAAAAGAACTACCATGCACCAAGGCCATTCAGTTGAGAAAGGGAAATCTTTTCAACAAGTGAGACTGAACCATCTGTATTGGTTCTACGCTGGGGAAACTCCGCCTTGACCCTTACCTCACACCACACACAAAAATTCATATGAGATACGTCATGACCTCAAGTGTAAAAGTTAAAACTAAAAGCTTCTAGAAGAAACTAGGGCTATCTTCACGACTTGAGGATTGTCTTAGGCTGGGCTCTCTAGAGAAGCAAAACCAGTAAAGCGTATAAATATATATAGAGAGATTTATGTCAAGGAAATGGCTCATGAGATTGTAGAGGCTGGAACTTCCCAAGTCCATGGGTCAGGATAGAGGCTTCTCCGGATTCACGTAGCCGCAGGGGCTGGCAAACCCAAGATTAGCAGGTAAGCTGCTAGCTCAGATCCCAGGAACTGGAGGTCAGATGAACAGAAGCCAGTTGCAGGATCTAGAGTGAGCCAAAGCCCACGAGCCTTGCCAGAAAGTCCACTTATGTTCAGTGCAGGCCACAACCCCAAGGCAACTCCCTTTTAGCTGATTGGCTACTCACAGCAGATCCCATCATGGAGGCGGTGACATCATATCAAATCTTATCATGGAAGTGATCACATCGTCATAAGACTGTCAAACTACATCACAGCTGCCAACCCACTGCGAATCAGGGCCCAGCCAAGTTGACATACAACCTCAGCGATCACCAGGATAGTCACAGACCTCAGAGAGGGCACAGAAAGCACCAACTGTGGAAGAAGAAATTGATAAGTTGGACTTAATCAAAATTAAAAGCTTGTGCTCATCAAAAGACACCATTATGAAAATGATTCAGTGAGCCATAGTCTAGAAGAAAACTGGCAGTTTCTCATAAGGTGGACCATTCACCTGTTCTGTGACCCAGCAGTCCCGCTCCTGGGTGCTTACCCACGAGAAAGGAAAACGCAAGTTCACAAACAGATTCAAACACAAATATTCATGGCAACTTTGTTCATAATACCCCCAGATTGCAAACAACAGGAGAATGGATAAACAAGTTGTAGAATATTCATCCAATAGAACTCTACTCAGCAATAAAAGCAAGAGAACTATTGATACTGATTTGGATGAATCTCAGAAACGTTATGTTGAAAGGAAGAAGCCAGACACAAAGGAGAACATACTGCATGATTCTACTTATGTGAAGTTCTAGGACAGGCAACATTACACGTTTAAATGGCTACTGCCGGAGGTGTGAGAAGATTGCGTGGGATGGGGCATGAGGAAACTTTCTGAAATCATGGCGGTGGGGGTTACCCTGGTGTATGCATTTGTCAAAACTCATCCAACTGCATACTCCAGATCTGGAATTTCACTGAATGTAAGTTATACCTCAGTAAAGTAAATAAATAAAGAACCTTATACCTTAGGGTTATTTTGAGAGTTAGGTAAGAAGAGAATCTCAGTGAGTAAATGCTCAGTGAACGGTGGCTTTTTACCGTTAGTGCTCATACTGTCCCCGGGTGATGACAGTGCTGTGTGTTGGGTTGTGGTTTTGCAGGTGGAATGAAGTAACTCGCAGGATAGAAATGTGGATCTCCATCTTAGAACTGAACGAGTTAGGGGAATACGCTGCCGTAGAGCTTCATCAGGCGAAAGATGTCAACACGGGAGGCATCTTTCAACTAAGACAGGTACTAAGTGTGGGTTTTTTTGTTTGTTTTCGTGTTTTCTCCCCGTCGCATCCTATATACACTTCGGGGGCATTTTCTAATTATTTGCCTCTTTCTTCCTTAATTCTTTCCGTTTCTTTATTTCCAACCTCCCCCTTCCTCGCCTTGGCACCCGCTCCCCACCTTGCCTCCACCTCTGCAGGGTCATTCTCGTAGGGTGCAAGTCACGGTGAAGCCCGTGCAGCATTCGGGGACCCTGCCTCTCATGGTGGAAGCTATCTTGTCGGTATCCATTGGCTGCATAACGGCCAGGTCTACCAAACTCCAGAGAGGGCTGGACAGTTACCAGGTAAGACAGACAGATTCAGAAGAGCATTTCACAAAGGTTGGTTGATACAGAATTAAATCAGTTAATGAGCTGGGATGGGCGCCCATTTGGGAATATAACAGATCTCCGTGTCTTCACCATATCTCTGCCCCCCAGTTCACATTTCCATACATTACCTTTCTTCTAGATTTAACATTCTTTATTTGCTTAGAGTTTAATAGTTTTATTTGTAAACACACACGTATTAATGCTGTAGTACTCATTCACTCTGGGCAGAGTTCATTTTATGTCTGGCCCAAATTATGTTGAATGTTTGGCATTGCTGCCTGGCCCGTCCACTGTCATTACTATCGTAATACTACCCCATACGCCGGCATTGTTAACCAGGTCTTTGAAAACTCTACTTGTCTAAAATCAAAAGTTGACTTCATGATCATTTTTGTTCATTAAATCTCCATGCATTAAATCGTATGTTCCCATTTTAAAAGGAAAAAAAACATACAGTAAACCCCTAAGAGTTGGTCTTCACGCTATCAGCCAGGACCCCTCAGTAGTCCATGAGCCTCAGCTGTGAGATGAGGAGCTCGCCCCCCCGCCCCCGGCGGCCTGGAAGGGTGGACCTACCTCACTCTGCCCTCAGTTTCCTACCCGACGTGAGCTGGGGCCCGGGGAGAATCAGACCCGCACATTCTGGCTCTCTCTCTGCCGTGTGAGATAGGAAACACTTCCTCTTCTTTAAGGAATCGTGATGAGGAGAAAACATTTCTCCTTTGGGCTCTCTGTGGAGTCTGGGCGTCAGCCCAGCTGATCTTGAGTATGATTCATCTTCCATCTCAGTTTCCTTTTGGCATTCAGGCAAAGCTTTTTAGGAAGGCTAAAAATCCACACCCAGACCGCTTGGCTGTAAGGCAGGCGTAGCTGGATCAGACCCTGCCATCCCTACGCCAGGCCACTGTCCCCTCTGGCTGTCAAAGTCTGGGGGAGAGGATGAATGAGGATCCAAGCATGGGGGCTGTTCTATTTGGGGAGAGACTTTGCCCGCCCAGCTTTCCTTGTGTGTGTGCAGCATGTGACTAAGACGCTGGGTTGTACGGGTTCTCATCCCAGATGGTCACCCTGTTGGTGGTCTTCGTCGGGGTGGCTACTTAGGAGATGCGGGCTCTCAGTCTGATTCAGCCTTACTAAATGATGACCTTGACTGGGTAAATTAGACTTTGAGTTCCCTTTTCTTGTCTCTAAAATGATGAAGTGGACTTCTTAATTCTCTGAGGTCCCTTTCTGCAATAAAATTGTGTGGCTTAGTAAGTCTCTGGTCACAGATGAAACAGTGAGTCTGTGTGTCCTAAACCACGACCTACAAAATACGGAGCATCAACCGACTGAACTCCCATCTGAGGAACAGGTTAAGGATTTATTGATTAATTGCATTTTTTCAACAACTCCACCTGGAGTTAAAACTGATTATCGAACATTGAGCTCTCAATTACCAACCTTTCCCCAATGCTCTGTACTCTTTTAAGAGCATATTACTAGCCATACTGATCTAAAGTGTTTTAAAGGTTTTTTTCCCTTTGCTGCCACGTTCAAGGTCATGCCCAGTAACTTTCTGTTGTTGTTGATGTAATACTGCAGAACTGTTCTGATACAGCAGCTCAGACCAGCCCAGAATGCGTGGATTTCACAGCAGTTTTACATCATGAGAGTTGATGCCAGTTTTCCGTTTCTACAAGTTGTAAAAATTAATGTTAGCGAGATCTGTCCTGTCATTACTGTGGGGCTCCATATTAATTCAGAATTAACACGAAGAAAAATTACTTCAGGATTAGATTTTCACTTAATAAGTTAGAGTCATTTAAATGATAATGATCTGTCACCTATCTAAGTAAAACAGAAAAACCGAGGGGGTTTTGAAGCCTACACAGATATGAGAATAATTTTAACTGTGTTTTTAAAGTACTTAAAAGGAAAACCAAAAACAGTTCAGTGTCTCTTCTCTAAGTAGGCTGCTTCACAAATGGCCTGTTTGAATACTTGCCCCTCCAGTAAGCACAGGAAAAGTGAAAGAAGGTTGCAGGTGGCCCAGCCCTCATTCTGAGTAGACCCTGCCTTCATCTGGATGGTTATTCTCTACAAGTGAGAGCTCCTAAATTCCTGTGTCTAAGGAAGAATTGTCTCAGCTAGAATTTGGTTCTTTTCAGCATGGTGGTTTTCAGTTTTGCCCCCCCAAAAAAGTGTTTGCCGAAATTTTCAGGTAATTAGCATAAAATGAGTTGGAATCGACTCAACGGCAAGTAACGAGAGCAACAAAAGTGTAAAATGTTGCCATGAGTTTGGGACAGTTCGAATTTCCCAGCTGACTTGTCATGGTCGGTAGTGATACTGATAGATCCATGTGGGCGAGATAGTTTCCTGCGCTTTGTGGGAGGAGAGTATGGAACCTGGCCCGGATGTATCCTTCGGTTCCCTGTGAGCCTTACCTGTGATGATCTCAAAGACCAAAGGGGTTGGAGACCAGTGGCCTGGTGTCTAGCCCTGATCCTGCCAGTGTGCAGGTATTCTTGGGGTAAACCATTTCATCTTTCCAAATTTCCATTCCCTCATCGCTGAAATTAAAGGTTCGCCAAAAGAATCTGTATTTTTCTGGTCCTTTCTAGTTTTGCCATTCTGTCTCTCTAGGCCCATCCCAAACCTCAGTCAAATAGGCCACCCATAGATACATACCAACTATTCACATAACAATGAAGTTATTTTTAAATGACCGCTTGCTTCCTAAAAACCTTAAATTCTCTAAATAATTATAGACAACTGAATGAAATCCACTAAACCTTCTGAGATTCAGTGAAGTTTTATTATGCTGATACTGTGTGGGCTGTCCAGTATGGTGTGTGTGTGTTAAGCTAAAGAATTATTTGTGTGCTGTTTGAGAAACAAAATGCATGTCCTTTGTGTTTATTTTTTTCCTCCCAGAGAGATGATGAGGCTGGTGATGATATGGATAGTTATCAGGTATTGTTGCTGCTGTCGATCCTGTGGCATGGGGCACAGCTACTGCTAATTGCCAGCGTCCGCAAAGCAGAGGACAGGAGAGCGAGAAGGCAGTTTTTCTCTGGCTTTTGATTTGCTTTAAAGCATAATCAGGGGTACAATACTATTTCCACAGATTTCCCTGTCAGCTCAAAATTTATAACCAGATTCTGCATTTTTGCTATGCCATTTGAAATGACGAGCTTGCAAAGCCTTGCTAAGCAAGAGCATTATCACTGTATTAAAACTGGTAATCTTAAAAATCACACGTTATCCAGCCATAATCTTGAGCTAGAGTCTTGTCTTTCCTATGCTGAACTGCACTTTGCTGGTTATATCCAAGAGACTGGTACTGTTCTAATATGCCGTTTTACTTTGAAAGGCGTTGGCTAGATAAGAACATTGAAGACGTCTTATGCACATATTTTTTTGTTTTTGTTTTAGTCAGTTTTTCTTCAGTCATTGGACAAGCGTATTTATCCATGACTTGTAGAATTCAAGTCTCAGCCTTTTCTTTTTGGAAATTTAGAAAGTATGCACAGATATAAAATTTTGCCTCATCAGGACTCACCGGCCTGACGTCATGGAACTGGGGTGATAGCGGGGGTCAGAGCAGCTAACCAAGATGATGGTTTCTGGGCTTGGTTCCCAGTCTTTGCACTGGTTCTTCACACAAGTTTTAAAAGAATGCTTTGCCTGTGTGCCTTCCTGTATGTAAATTGTGGTGCACTGTGGGTAAAGCCTCAGAGGTCCTCAAAGAGCACACGTCTGTTCTTAACGTAAGGAGCCTTGGTGGCACAGTGGTTAGGAGCTCGGCTGCTAACTAAAAGGTCAGCAGTTTGAATCTACCACCTGCTCCTTGGAAACCCTATGGGGCAGTTCTGCTCTGTCCTGTAGGGTCGCTATGAGTCGGAATTGACTCCACGGCAATGGGTTTGGTTTTGTTTACTCTTAACGTAAGGTCCCTAGGTGGCACAAACAGTTTGCGCTCAATGCCAACTAAAGGTTGGCAGTTCAAACCCCCCCCCCCGCCCCCGCCAGTGGTACCATGGAAGAAAAGGCCTGGTAGTCTGCTTCCATTACGATTGGAAGAACCCTCACTGTCGAGTCTATTCCTGCTCATAGTGACCCTGTAGGACTGCACCATAGGGTTTCCAAGGCTGTCATCTTTACAGAAGCAGAAGGCCACATCCTTCTCCCGTGGAGCAGCTGCTGGGTTCAAACCACCAACCTTTTGGTTAGCATCCGAGCGCTTAACCACTGCGCCACCATGGCTCCTTTCCATTAAGGTTATAGACAAGAAAACCCTGTGGAGCAGTTCTACTCTGTAGCCGGTTGGGGTCGCCTTGAGTGAGACTTGACTCAATAGCAGCTAACGGCAACATCAGCTGTTAATGTCAGGTCTTAAGGGTTAGACTGGGATCAGGCAAGTCAGAGAACATTTTGAATAGGATTGCTGGGACTTCCTTCCCTCCTCAGGATTTTGCTAAGAGAGAAAGCAAACAAAAGCAACCCCTAAGGGAAGTTTTCCCGTCCCGCCGCAGGTTCTCAGTCACACCGTTTACTAAGGTTCTGCCGGCTGTTTGTATGCTGCCAGTCTCGTTGTTCACAGCGATGTCCAACAGATGCTTCTGGGATTTCTTAAAGCATGGCTGGCTGCATGTGGGTTTTTGCATGGGAGGTTTTTGGTTAGCCTAACGGCAGCTGTTGGAAGTAAAGCCTTTGCAACAAGTTGGAAAGGGTCTCTGCCTACCTATTCTTGCACTTCAGAGAATACGTGTGATCAGGCCAGTGAACTGTGAGCTATGTAAATGGCTGTCTTGTTCTATCCCATTTGCTATTACACGGTTTGGGCTCTGTTCATGGTGTCCTGCTTGGAATCACAAATCCTTCCAATGAATAGCTACGATTTCAATGCCCGCACAGTGTAAAAATCAGCCAGCAGCAGGTGTGGTTGGAGATGTCTTGCTTTTAAGTATAATCATCCTTTTGGAGATTGAGGGGCTCTGATTCTTGAGTTAATGGGACCCTTGATCAGCATGTGTTGTTACTGAGACCTCTTTGCTTTCTCGCATATTAATCACACAGCTATGTTCGATGGCCTTTCCCAATGAAAAGTTTCCTAATCAACTTAAATATCCTTCAAAAATAAAGATAGAAAAGAAATGGTTGTCTCTGCACTGTACAGCAAAATGTTTTCCCTCTCTGATGTCAGGAAGAAGATTTAAACTGTATAAGAGAGAGGTGGTCTGATGCCCTCGTTAAACGACGAGAATACTTAGATGAACAGATTAAAAAAGTCAGCAATAAACAAGGTATGTGGTATTTAGTGTCACTGAGCTATAGCTAGGAAGACTGCTGAAATGGCAGATGCTTTGTTACCTGTAGAGTTAACCACAAATTTAAAAAAAAGGAAGGGAAGGCACGTGGTATTAAGGTTTTCTCTGAGAATAGCTGTTTCGCTTTTACACTGTAGTGGAAGGTTGTTTTCTTCCGCCGTTAGAGTATCTTAGTTTTTTGAATTCGTAAAAATTACTGACGTCAGTGAATCTTACTGTGGAGTGTTGGCTTTCAAAGGTTCTGAGCGTGAAAGTAGTTAAGTTTTCATTAAAACCATGCTTTAACCGTGACATTGAATGTCAAACTCACATTTTGTTTTGAGAAACACAAGTAAGATTAGTATCTCCATATAATGTATTCTAGGCTCAGGACGGGCGACTGACGGCACTTAAAAGGTGACTTCAGAGACCACAGCACTGGCAGGTCACCTCCCAGCTCCCGTTGGGACAGAGCTATGAGCTCAGCTCCTTCGGGGCTGCCCCCTTGCAGTGCCCCTCTCTGCCACCTAGCCCCCAGGATGACATTGGCCAGTGCCGGCCAGGGCTCGCTTAGATTCTAGAGTTAGAAATGTGCTCGTGAAATCCTTCGTTTCTCATCCTGACTTTCCCGTTCGCTGATCGTGATTGAGTCTACACCCAAGGACGCATCACGAGTATTACTCCATTTCATGGAGAAGTCAGCAAAAATCCTCCCTCAGAGAAACATCCTGGCTCAACACCCTTGGTGTCAGTTTGGGTATGTTGCTCTGGACACGTCATCAGGAAGGATCCCTCCATAGAGCAGGACATCACATTTGGTGGAACAGAGTGCCAAAATGTGCTAATGAAAAGTCACTTTGACTATGTATAGGCAGCCTCAGAAGTGAATTATGGGTAAGAGGATTTCACTGTATGTCTATAAAATCCCTTCCATAATGACTGTGGAGGAAAACAGGGTTGGTTCTAAGGAGTGGAATATATGGCGTGTTTTAATCCTCCATCTTTATAAAATGGTGTATAGTTTTTTTTATAAGGCAACATCACACCCATTATTTCATTTGATTGTTCCAACAAGTGCATAAAGCAGATGTGACAGGCATCCCTGTTTAACAGATCAGGAAACTTAGACTTGTTTGTTGAATACCTTTGCTAAATTACGGAACCAGCAAAATGACCTGTCCTCTAATTACTCTCCCAATGCTCTTTCAACTCTCCTCACGTACGGCATGTTAAGCCAGTGTCCTAGCATCCCCAAGCTCCTCTGCATACTCATGCTTGAACTTAGAAGCCCCAGATCCTTTCTGGGAACATAGGGGATGTTTAAACCACCTGTGGCCATCACTGAGTAAGGATCTGTCCGTTTATCTTAAGTTTAGAGATTGCACTTGTTCCCCTCTTGGCACTCATTCCTCATTTCGTTCTTTCCGCAGAGAAAACAGAGGATGACGTGGAGCGGGAAGCCCGGCTCGTGGAGCAGTGGGTGGGGCTGACTGAGGAGAGAAACGCTGTGCTGGTCCCAGCACCGGGCAGTGGCCTCCCCGGGGCTCCCGCCAACTGGTGAGTCCTGTCTTCCTGCCGGCAGGCCAGGCAGGATAGTGCAGAGTGACTGTGGCCGAAGTCATCACGTGACTTTCCAGCCCACATGAGCTGCCAGGGAAGGGCTCCCTCTCTAGTGCTCCCGCCCCTCTTCCTGCTGCAGCCAGCTTCCTGCCACAGGACGCAAAGAGCTTGGAATCAAGTGCCCCGCCCCTCTTGCTCTGCAGACGCAACTGGGACATGGCTCTCTCATCTTCAGAAATTCTTTCCTGTTGTCTGAAAGAAGGATGTTTCAGAGTGGACTTAGAGAGGGCAGAAAATATGTCTTCTTCTTATTTACCCTAGTGCCTGTCTACTTTGGTGCCCAGTGTAGGGTAAGAACGCGCTTAAGCGTTGCATGATGATTGAATGAATCACTCGGTCAGTCAGTCCTGTGGAGGCTCATGAGGAGCAACATGGCGTCATGGTCTATGGAGTCAAATAGATCTGGATTTCATTTCCAGCTTCAGCTCTTAACTGCATTTCCTTAAGCCAGTTATTTAACTTATCTGAGGCTTCGTTTCCAAATCTATTAATGGAGTCACCTTTTGGTTTTGTTGTGAGAATTAGAGATAATGTGTATAAAATACCTTGTACAGAGTGCCCACTCAATGCTAGTTGCTGCTGCTGCTTATTCTCATTATTCAGATCAGATGTTCCAGGTATGTAAGAGAAATCAGATTCCTTTTGTACATGGAATGTACAATGTCCATTGTCTCTTTTGGGCAGGCATAGAAATATTAGTGATGTTATTTTTGTCTGTAATGATATGGAAGAGTCCCTGGGTGGTACAAACAGTTAAGCACTCAGTTACTAACCAGAAGGTTGGCGGTTCACGTCTACCCGGAGGTGCCTCATAAGAAAGGCCTGGTGATCTACTTCCCAAAAATCACAGCCATTAAAAACCCTATGGAGCACAGTTCTATTCTGACACTCATGAGGTCACCATAAGTCAAAATCCAGCTAGATGGCAACTGTTTTTTTTTTTTTAATGATAGATGAAAGTGTAGTTTATTTCATAATCTGTTTTATAAAACTTGAGAATCTGAATTTGCAAACACCTAACTGATATTTCTCACTGCAGATGCTCCTGTTGTGCCAGGTCCTATAGGTTCCATGGAATGTAGCCACCAGCCCTTGCCCTGGACAGGCGTCCCAACCCAATCCTGTTTCCTTCCTTTGTCCCTCAAGGCCTCCCTCTAGTTCTTCTCACCCCAGTCTCTCTTATTTGAGGTGTTTCCAAACTGTAGCATGTCTGAGATCATCTTGAATGTTTGTAAAATGTAGAGTGCTGTGTCCCATCCCTGGTCATTCTCGTGTGGGAAAGGGTGGGACCCAGGACTCTTTATTTTAAGAGGCCTCCAAGTGCTTCTGATGCAAGTGGGCCTTGGTCTCTCCTGCATTCTCCATCTTGTATTTCCATCTTGCATTCTCTTCTCCTTTGATCTTTTTGAATATTGTTCCCTTTTGTTTACTTCCCTAGGCTCCAGTCCTGTCCTCTGTTCCCACTCGAACATGTCTCCCCCTTTTTCCCATCCATGGAAATGATGTTAGAAAGGCTTCAGTTAATCTAAACTAGGGAGATAGGTAGCTGCCGTCAGATCGACTCCAGCTCATGGCGACCTAAAGTACAATGAACGGGACACTGCATGGTCCTGTGTCATCCTCATGATCACTGTCATGTTCAAGTCCATCATTACAGCTATTATACCACTCCTTCCTCCCCGAGTCTCCCTCACCCCTTTTGGCACTCTGTTCCACCAAATGTGATGTCCTTCTCTATGGAGTGATCCTTCCTGATGACGTGTCCAGAGCAAGCTAGTTGGACAGTGTTCTGTTGCGATCCATAAGGTTTCCATTGGCTAATTTTCAGATGATCTCCAAGTCTTTCTTCCTAGTCTTAGTTTATATAAGGCACGTAATTTCTATGATTTGTGTTAACAGGGAAATCAAGAAATGTGAAGTATTTCACTAATAGAACCTGCACCTCACAGTGGTCTCTCCTGCTTCCATACCTCAGTGGTGTTTTATTAGTTATTTAACAGCATGTAAAACACATATTTTGTTATGACTAAATTTTGCTATTAAATTTAGGATCCCGCCTCCTGGAATGGAAACCCATATACCAGTTCTCTTCCTTGATTTGAACGGTAAGTAGACACTTAAAGGTCTGGGGTCTTATTGCGTTTTCATTAAGGCTTGTAATCTACTCAGACCCCCATCATTTTGGTCCTTAAATCACTTTTCTAATCACCCATGTGCTATATCTAGGTGACATTTTTAGTCCAGTGAACTATGTATAAGCATAACATGTAGAATCATTAGAAGAGACATGGATGTTTAATGTAAAAAAGAGAGTCCCTGGGAGATCGAGAATTGCATACAAAAACCTTAAAACAGTTATTCTCAAGCGTTAATGGACCTGGAAAGTAATCACCCCCGAGATTCTGAATCTTTATGCTTGACAGGGGCACAGGAATCTGCCTTGATCACTAGTGCACCAACCCTCCTGAAAATCTGATGCCAGTGGCACCCTCTAACACACTAATACCGCCTTAGGAGTTGCTCTCTAGTACAGCAATGAGCTCGAACCTGGGTCAGCCTAGAACAATGGTTTTCAGTGTGTTTTAGCAGTGAAACCCTTCATCCGAATGAACTCTTAAATGGAACCCCATATGTAGAACATAAAAGCAGAGTTGCTGAGTGTGGAGGTGGGCAGGCTCCTGGCAGGCGCTTCTTCAGGACCCTCGGGCTCCTCAAAACATACCCCTGAAAACCACTGTTCGGATGGAAGACCCGTAATGGGTGGATGGGAGACACAGGGAGGTTGGTTTTGGTTCCTCGCATGAAGAATTTTTTAAAAGCCTCGAAGTGAATTTGCGGACAGAGTCGGAGAAAAATGAAGAACAAAATTCAAACTCATAAAAAAAGATCAGACTTATTGGTCTGACAGACACTGGAGAAATCCTGGGAGTATGGCCCTCAGACACCCTTTTAACTCAGGACTGAAGTCACTCCTGAGGTTCATCCCTTAGCCACAGATTAGATAGGTCCATAAAACAAACAGTAATACGTGTAGCTCAACCATGTATGTGAGACTAAATGGGCGCAGCAGCCCAGAGGCAAGGACGAGAAGGCAGGAGAGGACAGAAAGCTGGACAAATGGAAATGGGGAACCCAAGGTTGAGAAGGGGAGAGTGTTGACACGTTGTGGGGTTGGCAGCCAATGTCCACAAAACAATTTGTGTATTAATTGTTTAACGAGAAACTAATTTGCTCTGTAGACTTTCACCTAAAGCACAATTTAAAAAAAAAGAAGTGGATTTGCCTCTATGGGGTCACCTCATTAGGTGGTGAGTTGCCCATTACTGGAGGTATACAAGCAAAGGTTGGGTGGCCACTTACAGAGATTTGTGAAGGGCATTGGAATAAGATGATCTTCATATTTCTCCCAAGTGCTTAGAACTTTGATTCTAAATTGGTAACTTAACTGCTAAAATCTCTAATATAGTGTAAGTTATGTAAGTAACACAACAAACCTAACATTAGGTTGTAGGAAAAATTGACACCAGAAATTTGCAGAATTCTAAGGTGAGTTTATCTTGTGAAAATATTTGCTCCTAGGACAACATTTGGAATCTGTTCCGTCCATTTTATAGTAGAATCTCAGAGGCACCTTTTGGCTCCTGTGGGAGTATCTGTAGATGCTTGGTAATGCAACAGTTTGCACTTTGCTGCTAAACGAAAGGTTGGCAGTTTGAATCTACCCAGTGGCATCGCAGAAGAAAGACCTGGAGATCTACTTCTGTAAGATAAGAGCCATTGAAAACTGTCTGGAGCGCAGTTCTACTCTGACACGCATGGGGTCTCCATGAGTCAGAGCTGACTTGACAGTAACGGCTTTGGCTTGTTGGTTTTTCAGTAGCGTGTGTAAAGGGGAACGGCCGTTGTGATGCTTGGCATCTGTATTTCAACTGCAAGACAAGGAGTGGAAGAAAGAAAGGAAAATCTGTTTTATGTAAACTTCATCTGTAAAAAGCAAGTTTTTAAAATTTTTGATGTTTGCTTAAAACCCGACTTTTGCCCCACTTGTTTTCTGCACCCTGGATGTGCTTAGCGGACGACCTGAGTGCCAACGAGCAGCTTGTCGGCCCCCACGCGTCGGGTGTGAACTCCATCCTCCCCAAGGAGCACGGCAGCCAGTTCTTCTACCTGCCCATCATGAAGCACAGCGACCACGAGGTAACGGAGCCCCCGGGTTCTCCTCCACGGCTTCGGGTTCTGCGTAAGCCAGCGGGCCTGTCTGCCCATTAAACCGCGGTAGTCTGCTTTGGTGATAGAGGAATGGGGACTTTACGAAATAGAATGTGTGTGTTGTCATTCCAGGAAGGTGAGGAAAGACCCCTGTTGGATTAATGGAGTTGAATGTCTGTTTTCCCTCTGGTTGGTGATGTGGAATGGCTGCACCTGAATTGTGTTGTTTCTGTCCCTCCATCCTTCCCCCACGCCTAGGTTTCAACCATCGCCTCTTGGGACTCCTCGGTACATGACTCCGTCCACTTGAACAGGGTCACACCCCAGAATGAAAGGATTTACCTCATTGTGAAGACCACCGTCCAACTCAGCCACCCGGCTGCTATGGAGTTAGTCTTGCGAAAACGGATTGCGGCCAATATTTACAACAAACAGGTAGTTACAGGGCCTGATTCGGCCGTTGTGCATGTGAGCACGACGTTTGTTCTCCTTCTCGCCATTGCAGAGCAGAGTTCTCCGGGGCTATGGTGATGGATGTGCACGGTGCTACCACACTGGCCAAGTTATAGTGGGATTCTCATGGACCCAAGATAGCGGGGCATGACGCTAGCAGAGGGGAGTGTCGTCCCCAAGAGGACTTTGTGCCTTCAGTGATTGAGACCCAAAGTGCTCGGAGGCGGGGGAGCTATGATATTTCTCCGCTGGAAAACTGGAGAAACGGACACTGAGAGGTTCAGTGTCAGATCCAGGCAGGATAGTGACAGAGCCAGGACAAAACGCAGGCGCCCAATAACCGCTCTCCTGCTTCTCCAGATCTCAGCTCAGGGGTGCTGGCAGCAAAATGGACCCTCTTGACTTTTCTTCTGACCGACCCTTGATAGACTGATTCAACCCTGAAGAAATCAAAAGGGAGGCAGCAGATGGGACAGAGAAACAACCACCAAGCCCCTGAATATGCTGCAAATTCTGTAATCTAATCCCCAGATCAAATAATAGCTGGGCGTCATTGTCCCTCAGGATTGGAGATTAGAATTTTTAGGTTCAATTTTTTTTTCTGTTTTGCTTAATAGTGTGTGTGTCAGATGTATAAACCAAAAAACCCGTTGCTGTCCAGTGAATTCCGACTCATAGCAAAGCCTGTAGGACAGAGTAGAACTGCTCCATAAGGTTGCCAAGGAGCCACTGGTGGATTTGAACTGCCAACCTTTTGGTTAGCAGCCTGTCTCTTATCCACGGTGCCACCAGGGCTCCGTCAAATACATAGTAATTGATAATTCTTTTCAAATTTGTAAAATACTGAGTTTTTCACATAGCTCTTAATACGGCTTTCCTTTTCTATCAAGAGTTTCACCCAGAGTTTGAAGAGGAGAATATCATTGAAAAATATATTTTATTCCTGTGGTGTCACCTATGAAATAGTATCCAATATACCAAAGGTAAAGTATATACTATTTGAAACAATATCAATATGTAAATAATGGAGAATGAGTTAATTCTTAGTTCTCAAAACATTAAAATCATTTTCTCACCAAAATTTTGATGAAAATATTGCCTTCCTGTCCCTTTAGGCAACAGAGGAGATCGAGGACCGGGAAACGCTGGCTCTTATGGCAGCGAGGAGCGAGAACGAAGGTGCGTCCGACGGGGAGACCTACATCGAGAAGTATACACGGGGCGTGCTGCAGGTGGAGAACATTCTGAGCCTCGAACGGCTCCGGCAGGCAAGTAACTGGGATGTCTGGGCTGGAAGATGATACATCACCGTTCTTCACCCTTACACGGACGAAGAGAGGTTTACTTCCCAAGCTCCTTCTCTCTGACTCTACCAGAGAAGAAACACTTGAGTAGCTATCTTTTTTAAAGAAGAGACTTGGGCAAAATAGTAGCAAAAATAATAATAGCAGCCAAACTTCACTGAATACTTCCTACTTGCCAAACACTGTACCTCGGTAGTTGAGATAGATTTATTTCATTTCATCTTCAAGATCACCCTGTAGGGTAAGACTGTGCTAATGCCCGTTTTCAAATGAGAAATTTGAGGCTGAGAGAAGTTTCTAACTTGACCGAGATTACACAGCTGGTGACTGGTGCGAAGCCAGGACGCAGCTCCAGACAGCTTGACTCTAAAGCCAGTGTGTTTCCCCACGGACGATTACTGCCTCCCTAATTTGTGAACCCAGGTTAACTTTTGAGGTGGCAGCAGGACATTCAAAAGAACATCATCCACTAGGCCGTGGAAGTAGCTGAGAGGCAGGAGATGCCACTCCGTAGGAGCAATGGCAGTAAAGTTGTAGAAACGTGTGTTGGTCAGCAAGAAGGGCCGAGATCAGGGTCTGTCAGAAAAATCTTCCTTTAGCAAAAGTCCCACCTAGAATTGCTGCATGAGTAAACCACCCGTTGCCGTTGAGTTGATTCCGACTCATAGCGACCCTATAGGACAGAGTAGAACTGCCCCACAGGGTTTCCAAGGAGCGCCTGGTGGATTTGAACTGCCAACCTTTTGGTTAGCAGCTGTAGCTCTTAACCACTGTGCCACCAGGGTTTCTGAGTAAACCACAGCGGTCGCGAAAGTTCACGGTAGTTTTGCAAGTGCGATAGCTGTGTACTTAGAGGTATTTCTTCTCCCTTTTCTCTGCCCGCCTGTATAAAAAACTCACAGCAGAAATGTCTTTATTTCAGCAGTTGTCCTGATTTTACTTACGAGAAAAATGCTTTTGGTATATTGTTCAGGAAAACAACAAGTGGATACCAAGTTACAGAGAGCCATGTTTATTAGAGGTTATCATCAGCGGCGGGAGAGAGGGGAAAAGGGAACTCATTACTTAGGGGACCCTCAGCTTCTGTTACGGGTGACGGGAAAATCTGGGAGCAGATGAGGGTGATGGCTGAACGACATGTTGAACGTAATTAACGTCACTGAACCGTATGTGTGAAGATTGCTGAAATAAAAATGTTTTGTTAAATACATCTTTACCACAATTAAAAAAAAAAAAAAAATAAGAGTACTTTGGGTGTGTTAGGCATATGGTAAAATTAAAAAAAAAAAAAAAAAATTGGAGCACAGTCATCCCTTCCCACCAGAAAGCGATCCTTAACACCTCCTCAGACCTGGACTGACCTGACCAAATTAGGTTCTCCTTTCTTAGTCTTCTGATGGTACCATGTTTGTCTCTACCATTAGCACTTACCAAAGGGGATTAACATGTCCCACTGGAAACTCCCTTAGAAGCAATGACAATGTCTTCTTCACACCTCTTCCCCCAACACAGTGCCTGACACATAGCAAGTACTCAATAAATATTTCTTCACTAAAAAAACAAAACCAAGTGGATACAATGGGATTTCGTTTTAGAAATATAATTGTGTGTGTGTGTGTGTCTATGATCGAAGTGATTCTTTTTTTTAAGTTTTTATTGTGGTGACATATATATGACAAAACATTTCAGCAGTTTTTGCGTGTACAATTCGCCCTGTTAGGCGTAAGGTTGCTATGAGTTGGAGCCGACTGGACGGCACCTAACAACAACAATTCAGTGCCGTTAACTCCATTGACCATGTTGTGCAGCAGTCACCAGTATTGAAGTAATTTTTATTTCTGTAGTTTCTAAATTTTCTACCTAATATGTATTACCTTTGGAATCAGAGGGAAAAATAATAAACGTTATTTTCAAATTATGTTGCATTTACAGGCCGTCACTGTAAAAGAAGCCCTTTCCACCAAAGCTCGGCATATACGGAGGAGCCTTAGTACACCAAACGTTCATAATGTAAGTTACGTGCCCCACAGATCTGCTTTCTGTGTGATGTATCTCAGGATTCGGAGCAGAGGACATGAGGGGACGTGAGGTTGGGGTTTACAAGGTGGGAGTAGAGCATATGGCACTGGTGTAGACCTCCAGAGTGCCACACCCACTTATCTGCAGCAGGATAGCCTACCAGAGGGCATGTTACGTGGCTTGTCCCTTAATGGAATCTTACTAATCCTGTCAGAATGGGAGGCTGTGGTGGCATCTGATGTCCTCTAACTTCACAAGAGGGAAAGAGAATCAAGATCAGCAGCCCAAGGTTGATTCCTATGAGGCAGAGGTCAGACATGCCTCCTTTCTCTGCGGTCTTTACCAATTCTGACACCAACCGTCCCTCCCATGGCACCCTCTACTTCTCTGCTGGGTTAGATAATTCATTGCAATGGCCACACAGAACTCACAGACAATACTCAACGATTGTGGGGTTTATTAGGGAAGTAACAGGTTATAGTTCCGGTTCAGGAGCGCTCAGGAGACGGTTCTTCCTTCAGGACAGCCTCTCAGCTGTGCCCATCGGGATGCCTCTCTCTGGCCCCTCAGTCTCTGCCCTGCTTGGGCAAGTGTTACAAAGCTCTTTTATCTCTGCTGATAAGTAGCCAGAGACACCCCACTCCATCAGTAACCCTCAACCTGAGGGTGCTCAGTTCTAGCTCCATGAGTCAGCAAACCTAGCTCCCCCTAGTGCCTGGAGGCACCCTACTCCACCAGCAAGTATCCTGCCCAAAGGCACTCAGCTTTCTTGCTCCATGGGCCGGGAAGCCCACTGCGTCTCCTGCCTGTCTTTCCTACTGCCATTTCTCTGCCACGACTTCTCACCGTCTTCATTGTTACAGCTCTCTGTCTCTCTCTCTCTCTCTCTCTTGCTCTTCTGGTTCCAAGAGCTTCTCAGTGCAGGGATCCCAGGTCCAAAGGACATGCTCCACTCCTGGCTCTTCTGTCTTGGTGGTGGTGAGATCCTTTCCTCCCGCCTCTTGGATGGCTCATTTTAAGCCTAGTGGGATGGCAAAACTGACCAGTCCCCCTCGGTGGGCCACAATTAGCTTATTTCTATAATCCCACTCAGTCGTTGTGTGTAAGTCACAAAGACCATGGCTAGAAGGGCCATATTG